ATAGAAGCAATGAAGAAGACACAAACTGAGGGAATGCTGGAAGTAGAAAATCTGAGTAAATCAACAGGAACTACAGATGCAAGCATAACCAACAGAACATAAGAGATGGAAGAAAGAATCTCTGGTGTGGAGGATACAATAGAGGAAATAGATTCATCAGTCAAAGAGAACACTAAAGCCAAAAATGTCATAACACAAAAAGTCCAGAAAATCTAAGACACCACGAAAAGGCCAAACCTAAGAATAATAGGGATAGAAGAAGGAGAAGAATACCAACTCAAAGGCACAGAAAATATAATCAACAGAATCATAGAAGAAAACTTTCCCAACTTAAAGAAGGAAATACCTATGAAAATACAAGAAGTTTACAGAACACCAAATAGACTAGACCCCCCCAAAAAAAGTTCCCTCGAAACATAATAATCAAACCACTAAACATATAGAATAAAGAAAGAATATTAAGAGCAGCAAAGGAAAAAGGCCAAGTGACTTATAAAGGCAGACCCATTAGAATAACACCCGACTTCTCAATGGAGACTCTGAAAGCCAGAAGGTTTTGGACAGATGTAATGTAGATACCAAGAGACCATGGATACCAGCGTAGACTACTATACCCAGAAAAACTTTTCACCACCATAGATGGAGTGCACAAGATATTCCAAGACAAAACCAAATTTTAACAATACCTATCCACAAATATAGTCCTACAGAAAGCACTAGAAGGAAAACTCCAAGGAAGTTAGATGCACTCACAAAAACACAGGCAATAGATACCCCACAGCAGCAAATCCCAAAGAAGGCAAATACACACACACTACCACCAAAAAAAATGACAGGAATTAACAGTCACTTGTCATTAATATCCCTTAATATAAATGGACTCAATTCACCTATAAAAAGACACGGACTAGCAGAATTGATACAAAAACAGGATCCATTCTTCTGCTGCATACAAGAAACACACTTCAACTTCAAAGACAGACACTACCTCAGAGTGAAAGGTTGGGAAAAGACTTTCAAATCAAATGGACTTAAGAAGCAAGCTGATCTAGCTATCCTAATATCTAAAAAAAAAATAGACTTCAAACTAAAATCAATCAAAAGAGATTGGGAAGGATATGTACTCATCACAGGAAAAAATCCACCAAGATGAAGTCTCAATTCTGAACATTTACATCCCAAGTACAAGGGCATTAACATATGTAAGGGAAACAATAATAAAGCTTAAATTATACCTCAAACCCCACACACTAATAGTGGGAGACTTCAATACCCCATTCTCACCAATGGACAGGTCTGCCAGACAGAAACAGAAATAAGAGATCTAACAGATGTTATGACTCAAATGGACTTAATAGATATCTACAGAACATTCTACCCTAACACAAAAGAATATATCTTCTTCTCAGTGCCCCATGAAACTTTCTCTAAAATTGACCACATACTTGGTTACAAAGCATATCTTAACAGATACAAAAAAAAAATTGGAATAACCTCCTGTGTTTTCTCAGACTACCCAAAGTTAAATTTCAATAACAACAAAAATTACAGAAAGCCCACAATCTTGTGGAAACTAAATAATGCTCAACTGAATCACCAATGGGTCAAAGAAAAAGTAGAGAAAGAAATTAAAGACTTCCTAGAATTCAATGAAAAGGAATGTACAATATACTCAAACTTACAGGACACTATGAACTTAGCAATGCTAAGAGGAAAGTTCATCACACTAAATGCCCACATAAAGATGTTGGAGACGTCTCACACTAGTGATTTAGCAGCATACCTGAAAGAAAGCTCTAGAACAAAAAGACTCAAACTCACCCAGGAGGAATAGATGCCAGGAAATAAAGAAATTGAGGGCTGAAATCAATAAAATAGAAACACAGAAAACAATACAAAGAATCAATGAAACAAAGAGTTGGTTCTTTGAGAAAATCAACAAGATAGACAAACCCTTATCCAAACTAACCAAAAGTCAGAAAGAGAACATCCAAATAAAATCAGAAATGAAAAGGGAGACAAAACAACAGACAATGAGGAAATCCAGGGAATCATCAGGTCATACTTCAAAAACCTGTACTCCACAAAATTGGAAAATCTAAAAGAAAGGGACAATCTTTTGGATAGATACCACATACCAAAATTAAATCAAGACCAGGTAAACAATTTAAATAAACCTATAACCCCTAAGGAGTAAAAACAGTCATTAAAAGTCTCCCAACCAAAAAAAACCCCAGGATCAGATGGTATCAGTGCAGAATTCTACCAAAATTTCAAAGAAGAGCTAATACCAATACTCTTCAAATTGTTCCACACAATAGAAACAGAAGGAACATTGCCAAACTCTTTTTATAAGGCTACAGTTACCCTAATACCCGCACCACACAAAGATGCAGCAAAGAAAGAGAATTACAGACCAATCTCCCTCATAAACATTAATGCAAAAATATTCAGTAAAATACTGGTAAACCAAATCCAAGAACACATCAAAAAAAATTATCCATCATGACCAAGTAGTAGGCTTCATCCCAGAGATGCAAGCATGGTTCAACATATGAAAATCTGTCAATGTAATACACCATATAAACACGCTGAAAGAAAAAAAAAACACATGACCACCTCATTAGATGCTGAAAAGCCTTCAACAAAATCCAACTCCCCTTCATGATATAGGTCTTGGAGAGATCAGGAATACAAGGAACATACCTACATATAATAAAGGCAATTTACAGCAAGCCAATGGCCAACACCAAATTAAATGGAGAGAAACCCACAGTGATTCCACTAAAATCAGGAATAAGACAAGGTTGTCTACTCTCCCCATATCTATTCAATATAGTACTCAAAGTTCTAGCTATAGCAATAAGACAACAAAAGGAGATCAAGGGGATACAAATTGGAAAAGGAGAAGTCAAATTTTCACTATTTGCAGACAATATGATAGTATACATAAGTGAGCACAAAAATCCTACCAGGGAAGTCCAACAGCTGATACACACCTTCAGTAATATGGCAGGATACAAGATTAACTAAAAAAAAATCAGTAGGTCTCCTATATACAAATGATAAATGGGCCAAGGAAGAAATCAGAAAAACATTACCCTTTACAATAGCCACAAATAATATAAAATACCTTGGGGTAACACTAACAAAGCAAGTGAAAGACCTGTATGACGAGAACTTTAAGAAAGAAATTGAAGAAGATATCAAGAAATGAAAAGATCTCCCATGCTCATGGATAGGTGCAATTAACATAGTAAAAATGGCAATCTAACCAAAAGCAATATACAGATTTAATACAGTCACCATCAAAATCCCAACATAATTCTTCACAGACCTTGAAAGAACAATAGTCAAATTCATATGGAAAAACAAAAATATCTAGAATAGCTAAAACAATCCTGTACAGTAAAGCAACTTCTGGAAGCATCACCATCCCTGACCTCAACTCTGCTATAGAGCTATAGTAATAAAAACAGCTCAGTATTACATGAAAACTGACATGTGGACCAATGGAATCAAATTGAAGACTCTGACATTAATCCACAAACCTATGAACACCTGTTTTTGACAAAGAAGCCAAAGCTATATAATGGAAAAAAGGAAACATCTTCAACAAATGGTGCTGGCATAACTGGATGTCAACATGTAGAAGATTGAAAATAGATCCATATCTATTGCCATGCACACAACTCATGTCCAAGTAGATCAAAATCCTCAACATAAATCTAGTTACACGGAACCTGATAGAAGAGAAAGTAAGAAATAGACTTGAATGCATTGGCACAGGTGACAACTTCCTAAATATAACACCAGTAGCACAGACTGTGAGCAACAATTAATAAATGGGACCTCCTGAAACTGAGAAGCTTCTGTTAAGCAAAGGACATGGTAAATAAGACAAAATGACATCCTACAGAGATCTTCACCAACCCCACATCTGACAGAGGGATAATTCCAAAATGTATAAAGAACTCAAGAAACTAGACATCAAAATATCTAACAATCCAATTAAAAAATGGGTTACAGAGCTAAACAGAGAATTCTCAACAGAAGAATCTCAAATGGCTGAAAGACATTTAAGGAATTCATCAACATCCTTAGTCATCAGGGAAATGCAAATCAAAATGACTCAGATACCATCTTACACCTGTCAGAATGGCTAAAATCAAAAACACTGATGACAGCATATGTTGGAGAGGATATGGAGCAAGGGGAACACTCCTCCACTGTTGGTGGGAGTGCAAACTTGTATAGCCACTTTGGAAATTGTATGGCAGACTCTCAGAAAATTGGGAATCAATTTACCTCAAGACCCAGCTATACCACTCTTGGGCATATACCCAAGGAATGTTCAATCATACCACAAGGACACTTGCTTAACTATGTTCATAGCAGCATTATTCGTAATAGCCAGAACCTGGAAACAACCTAGATGCCCCTCAACTGAAGAACAGATAAAGAAAATGTGCAACATATATACAGTGGAGTACTACTCAGCAGTTAAAAAAAAAGACATCATAAAATTTGCAGGTAAATGGATGGAACTAGAAAATATCATCCTGAGTGAGGTAACTCAGACTCAGAAAGACAAACATGGCATGTACTCACTCATAAGTGGATACTAGATGTAACACATAGGATAGCCAGACTACAACTTACAGCTCCAGAGAAGCTAGCTAATAAGCAGGACCCTGAGAGGGATGCATGGATCACCCTGGGAAGGACAAGTAGATGAGATCTCCATGAGTAAACTGAGGGTGGGCAATAGAGGGTAGGGGATGGGGGATGAGGAAAAAAGGGAACGGAGTGGGAGAGCAATGAAAGAGATTCCTTGATAGAGGGAAACATCATGGGGCTAGGGAGAAACCTGGTGCTAGGGAAGTTCCTAGGAATCCACAAGGATGACCCCAACTTAGACAACTAGCAATAGTGGAGAGGGCACCCAAACTGGTTTACTCCAGTAATCAGATTGATGAATATTTTAACTGTCATTATAGAGCCCTCATTCAATAATTGATGGAAGCAGATGCAGAGATCCATAGCCAAACACTAGGCCGAGCTCCAGGAATCCAGTCAAAGAGAGGGAAGAGGGTTTCTATGACCAAGGGGCATCAAGATCATGATGGGGAAACCTACAGAGACAACCGAACCAAGCTGGTGGGAACTCATGAACTTTAGACCAACAGCTGTAGAGCCTCCATGGGACTAGACTAGGCCCTCTGCATAGGTGAGACAGTTGTGTAGCTTGGTCTGCTTAAGGGGCCCCTTGGCAGTAGGATTAAGATCCATCCCTGGTCCATGAATTGACTTTTTGGAGCCCAGTGCCTATGGTGGGACACTTTGCACAGCCTTGATGCAGGGTGAGGGGCTTGGACCTGCCTCAACTGAATGTACCAGACTCTGCTAACTCCCCATGGGAGGCCTTACCTTGTTGGAGGAGGGGAATGGGGGGAGGGTTGGGTGGTGAAGGCTGGGGGAGTCAGGAGGAGGGAAGAGAGGGGCATCTGTGGTTGGTATGTAAAATGAATAAAAAGTTTCTTAATAAATAAAACAAAATTTAACAATTTTCCAATCAAAATAAAAAATAATTCTCTTTGTCACTAGTTTTAACCAAATTGACTATATTGTGCCCTGGAGAATTTCTGTTTGGGTTCTGTTGTTTTTGCTGTTAGTTTGTTTGGAGTCTGTTGAGATTCATATATGTGTGGGCTTATGCATTCATCAAATTTGGAAAATTTGGGGCTGTTATTTGTTGAAAATTATGTCCAAATACCTTTCTTACTCCTATGGAGACTCCAGTGTACCATTAAGTCTTCATCTCAGCCACTGTAGATGTATCATTGGTGTCTTTGTATCTTCTACACCTCTGTTTTATATTGTCTTCACTCTGGCATCTGCTAGGCCTTATCTCATTCACATCTGCTGCTCAGAAATCAACAGCCTTTTTCTCCTTGATGTCCAGTATCTTTAAAACTTGATTCAACTATTTCTTCTCTATTATCATATTTTTTTTCTGATAGGGCAGCAAATTTAGTCCCTGCTAATATTTCTGGGCAACAAGTTGAAATCCCAACTGGCTTCTTTTAAAAATTCCAATCTTCTATAAATGTAAATTTTGTGCTAAAACATGACCCATTAAGTCCTTGGGACCTCAAGACAGATACTTATGGTTACCCACAATAATTAGCTATTATCATTTTTCTCTTGCTAACATAGCCTCAGTTTTGTTTGGATAGGAATGTCCTGAGCCTCAGGGAATATAATAATTTGCTCTAAGCTATTGGAAAAGTCAATGTATTCAAGGTACAGATATGTAACACCATGTGCTTGGGAATTTAGGGAAAATAGGTCTTCCCAGATACAGCAAAGAGCTGAGATGGGGCAAGGCTTTGTTGTCCTTCTTGCCCCTCCCCTATCTTCTACATCTCTATCTGACTTGACATAGTCAGTCTTCATTACGGCATATGCTATGTTCCATCTCATTTGCTCTTGTTTCTCAGAAATCACTGGACTTTGCTCCTTGAGGTCCAATATCTTTAAAGATCATTGTTTCATCTATTTCTTCTGGGTTATCACATTTCAGAGAAGATTTGATGGCTACATCTGTGCTAACCCACTTGCATTTCTGTGCTAACAACCAAGAATAATGTCTAATACATAATAAAAGCAAGAAAAGCATAAGTTGATTCCTATATTAAGAGCCATTATTGGGTTCGCCTTCCTTTCCTAAATTATATGAGATAATTTATATTACCAGTATTTAGGCCACTGCTTTTCCATGACTTGTAGCCAAATATAGCCTGCCTAAAACCTGCTTCTTTCATGGTTCATTCTCTTCACTTTTTAAATTTATTTGTTTGTTTGTTGTGTTTGGGTGTTTTGTCTGCACATTAGAAGAGGGCATGTGATCCTATGGGACTAAGTTATAGATAGTGTGAGCCTCTATCTGGGTTCTGGGGATTGAACTCAGGACTCCTGGAAGAGCAGGAAATGTATGATTCATTTTCTTAAGGTTACCTGTTTGCATCCTTCTAGAGCAGCAAAGATAATGTTCTGGAAGTGAGAGTTGCCATCAGAGGGAGTGGAATCTCAGATTTCTTACTTGATGGTTTTTCAAAGGAATGGCATTATCTAGCCAAGATTGCAGGCAGAGAAACCCAGGAGATTTTCCTCTTACTGGCAGTGTTCTTTAACAGACTTAGGCTATAATAAAAATGTGCTCATAGAACAACCTGATGTGGGTGTCCTTAGAAGGAGAGAACTGTATTGTTCTGGAATGGAATACTAACTTCAAGTGGCTGTGATCCACAGGGACCAAAGCTCTAGCCAAAGCTACTTGAAATAATATTTATTAATATAGTACTATCATAAATAATATATGCTATTAATATGACTTTAAATAATTTATAATTCTAGATTTACATAATAAATAATACATAAATATGTAATCATTTCATGAAGTCATGTGAAATTAGTAGTCATGAAGGAAACTTAACCTATTAACCCTCTACAGGAGAGAAAGGCTTACAAGTGGTCAGGCCATAGTCAGTAGCAGTTTGTATTATCTCTGCCAAGAGAAACACCAGCCTTCTGTCAATTATTTGACTTCTATGTCTTAGGACTGCAGAAAGGTAGCTAGGAACAGACTTTTCTGTGTGTAGCTACCAAAAAGCTTCCATGGGTTTTACAATGTTGTTTTTTTCTAAAGGCCTCCAACCCATCAATAATTGAAGGACTACAAGAGAATTGCTTACTAAAAATTAAGCAATGCAAGCCACTGCCATTGACTCAACCCTTCCATTTCTCTGGGGATTTGCTTCTATTGTTCCATCTAATCTTCCTGGGAGCCCTCTGGAGTAGACTTAATTATCCCCACTTTTTAGCTCGAGTGCTCAATGAAAAGGAGAAGTTAGAGTAGTGGTTCTCAACCTGTGGGCTGTGGCCCCTCTGGTGGTCAAATGACCCATTCACAGGGGTCACCTAAGACCATCAAAAATATCAGATATTTACATTACGATGCATAACAGTAGCAAAATTACAGTTGTGAAGTAGCAACAAAAATAATGTTATGGTTGGGGGGGGGGGTCACCACAACATGAGGAACTGTATTCAAGGGTCACAGCATTAGGAAGGCTGAGAACCCTTGGGTTAGGGAATTACCCAAGTCACACAGCTGCTATAGCAGGGACATTTTTTGGCTCTTCTGTAATTACTGCTTAATTGTTTCCTTTGCAGTCACTATCTTGTCTGTGTTGAAGAAAAACTTGAATGCAGTTTTTCTCTGTGGATGAAGATTTGAGATATTCTTTCTATTCAAATTCAACAAAACTGAAGAGTCTCTGACTCTGCTGTGCACTGAGCACTGTGCTAGGCCCTCTCAGGCAGGTGAGGTCACTTGTCCTTTGCAGTAAGCCAATGAACCTATTAGGTATTTATATCTTCACTGTACAAAGCAGGAAACTGGGGCTCTGGAAAATTGAAGAAGCTTGCCCAAAGCCTTCGTTCAGGACAAGCTGAGTATTGAGAGTTAAAATGACAATTAACTCTCAGATTTCATCTCTTGCAAAGGGAATCTTTTGTTTTCATTTTTTAATTTGTTTTTTAACCTCTTTTTATCTTTTCTTGTCCCATTTCCACTCCCATTGATCCCCTTCCTCTTCCTAATGAGTCTTCCTCTACATTCATGTCCTCTCTCTCTCTCTCTCTCTCTCTGTGTGTGTGTGTGTGTGTTTGTGTGTGTGTGTGTGTGTGTGTGTGTGTGTGTGTGTGTGTGTGTGTGTGCGCGCGTGTGTGGTATCCAGTTAGTTTGACTAGGGTTGCTTACAAGAGCATAGGTTAAGGGTTATTCACGGAAGCATGGGCACTTTACCAGTGGCTACACCACTGAAGATGCCTCTCCCATACCAACTAAGCATCAACTAACTGCTTATAAGTTCTCAGAGACGGGCAGGGCCTTGTGAGCCTCTTCCAAGGGGGGATATTAATCCCAGGCTCTGGGTTGTTGCTGGAGAGTTTCTCTCTAGGTCCCACCAAGCCCCGCAGCCCCACAACCCACATATAAAATAATCACTCAGACGCTTATATTACTTATAAACTGTATGGCCGTGGCAGACTTTTTGCTAACTGTCCTTATATCTTAAATTAACCCATTTCTATAAATCTATACCTTGCCACGTGGCTTGTGGCTTACCGGCTTCTTTACATGCTGCTTGTCTTGGCGGTGGCTGGCAGTGTCTCTCCCTCCTTTTTCCTGTTCCCTCAATTCTCCTCTCTCCTCGTCCCGCCTATACTTCCTGCCCGGTCACTGGCCCATCAGTGTTTTATTTATATAGAGCGAGATCCACAGCACTGGGTCTCCCTCAGGGAGCAAGCCCCTTTAGAACACTGTTTTCTGACCTTCAGAAATATGAACAGCTTCCTTCTTAATAGGAAAGATAACGATCCAGGAGTGGAGCTCGTTGTCGAAAGATTTGAGGGTAAATTTTCTATTTCATAAATTTTCAGTAGGCTGATGCTTTGAGTAGACTCAGGTACATCAGTAGCCAGGCCACTCAAGGCTCTTTAATAAACACTCATGTTCCCAAATCTCCCTGCTCTACTCTCCATAAAATGTAGTTGGCTTAATGTCCCTATTCCTCAGAGAATAACGTGTGTGGAAATTGTACTCTGAGATCAGTCCTTCTGGGAAAGGTACAACCTGCTGAAGAGGTACTGAGAAAGGCTGAGACCATAAATGTTGATCCTACCCAGGAGAGTAAATATAAACTGCCTGCCTCTTCCAGGCTGAATCATAGCTTATCAAGCACACATTAAACCTTTAAGCTTTTTTTCTCTTAAGTAAGAATAAATCTAAGTTGACTATTCCAGTGTACGTATTTGTTTTCCCTACACCGTCTATAAACCATGTCCAAGGTGAGAATTTATAAGCCTGAACAAAAACTAGCAAATTTCTGAGGATAACGGACAGCTATAACAGTTCATGACAAGACAGTCACAACAAAGGAAATGCTAGGCATTAAGTGATTTTTCCCTGCAAATCCTTTATATGTACGTCAAGCTGTGTACCAGCACAGCAAAGGGGAATAAATCAAAGGCAATACCCACATAAGAAAGGGGTTTTAGGCAAATGCTATCCTCTGTGCATAAATCAAACAAATAGTGATTCAAAACACCCAAAGGAACAGCACAGATTTCTATGGAGTTTTAGCAATAAAGTTATTTTTTGCAAATTGTACCACAATTTACATTGATGAAACATTTTACAGTTATTTGCTTGTGAAATCTGAAGACATTCCTGGCAACTAGGTCAATATCATTAGTTATTTTTTTTTTTAGCCAAGGTAACTAAAGCAAAGGATTGTTAAGTAACTTTCCCAAGGTCACAAAGCCAGATGTGAGCTGGGTAAGGCCTTCTTCAGAATTTCTGTTCCCAGAGTCCTGAGCTAGAGTCCCAAGTAGTAGTGCTACTAGAGGCCTCTTAGTGACTTCCTCAGTGATCCCAAGAAGGGAGAGGCAATTGAAGTAGACATTATTGGCCGGGCCTCCTGGTAGTAACTCTAGAAGTGCTGCTGGTTGACCCTGGTGTTAGCCTTTCAGGTAGAAATGCAGTTTAGCATGTCAGTGTATGCCTATGGGATGCCAGCACACCTCTGTGATATGGTCTCCTTTGTTGTGGTCATGACAATAAATTCCAAACTGTGGTTCTCTGTCCAGGCTGAATACGTAGAGGACTTTAAAGTAAGCCAGTGTCCCAGGGCCAGAGGTCCAGATGTCTGAGATTACAGCTTAGATAAGGACATTGCTTAGAAAGAATAAACAAAGATCACTAATACGTTGCTGGAGTTGAGACCCAGAATATATGAGAATCCTTCCAGATTTGCAGAGAGCAGTTGGGTAGGCTGTTCACCATACAAGAACACCTAACCAAAGGGGCAAAGGAGAGCTGAAATCCAGCCTGTGCATGGTGTGCTGAGGCAGCACTCACTCTAAAGAAGTCATCTTTTGTCAGGTTTCCAGAAAGGAGGTCTTGGGCCCTTCTGCTGTTCTTCCACAGGAATTGTTACATGTTCTACGAATTCTGTTTTCAGCTTAGTTTTAGGCATTCAGTAAAAATTATATTTAGCATCCACATATGCTGGCACTTAGTGTACATTGACCATGCAACTGTATAGTAACCACTGCTCCTATATTGTTGGATTTCCCCTTCCCAGTCTATTGGTGAAGGCATAGGATTATGCAGGGAGTTAGCTATGGCTGTATATACATATATGTGTGTGTGTGTGTGTGTGTGTGTGTGTGTGTGTGTGTGTGTGTGTGTATGAAGAACTCAGATGGAATGGGTACAGGGAACTGTGTGGACAGGGGTGGTATCACACCATCCAGTCCCAGGGCTCTGAGGGACCGCATCATGGAAACAGTACAGTTGCTGAGACAAGAAGACACAAGGTAAAAGAAGGGAGTGACATTCAAGACTGAAGGACATTTTAAAAAGTGGGACTTCAAACATAAGATCTGCTGTTATTCTGGATCTTCTTTCCGTTGACTTATTGTTTCTACAAGGTTGTCTGTTTGTTCATTTTTAATCTGGTTTCATTTGATTTAGTGTCTACTTTTTAACTTAAAAGGACCATGTTTTGGCTTGGTTCATAGGTCATTTTAATGAACTAAATTTCCCAATCCATTAGATTTGTAATTTGGCTGATCAAAATTCACTTTGTTTGGGGGATAGAGTATTGTGCAAAGTGCCCATCCATTCCCCTCCCAATCTAGCACCTCACAAGTCTACCAGTGGGCTTCCTCCAGGGGCGGCTTCCAGCATTCAGGAGGACCAGTGCTTTGTGGAATCAGAGAGTATTTCTCCACTTAGTGTTGAAAGACTTCAATGTGAATAGAGGAAAATGGATATTCAGTATTCGAGTGACTTCAACCACTGTACCTCCCTCCCAGCCTCTCTCATTCCCTTTCCATTCATTAACGTGAATAACTACTGAATCCCTAGGCCCCTACTTGTCAGTGCATGAAACCTTAGTCTTGCAGTCTAGAAGCTGTTTCTCTTATTTCCAAACATCTATTTGAAGCTGAGTCCTAAAAGCACAGTTTACATTTTGCCAGAAATAGGACCTCTGCTGAGTAGCATGGAACCTCGCTCATATATCTACCATCCATGGGCATTCCATGCTCTGCATATTTGTCTATCCACGTTCCACACCATAGAAGGGACTTCCTGAGAACAGAACAAAATGATCTTTTCTAATCCCCCAAGACCACGTATTCTGTTGATCCATGGTATGTGATCTACACATATTTAAGTAAATGAGTAGTTTTCTTGTGTTAAAAGTTATACCCATTTCCCTAAACTATAAGAGATTCACTTAGAAATGTATTTCAAGATAAATATTTTTTTAAATGTCAATGTAATGATGCCTAATGATAATCTGCTATACTCATAGATTGGTGCCTAGCCCAGCTGTCATCAGAGAGACTTCATCCAGTAACTGGTGGAAACAGATGTAGAGCTCCACAGCCAAACATTGGGCTGAGCTCTGGGAATCCTGCTGAAGAAAGGGAGAAAGGATTGTAGGAGCCAGAGGGGTCAAGGACACTACAAGGAAACCCACAGAATCAACTAACCTGGGCTCATAGGGGCTCACAGAGACTGAACCAACAACCAAAGAGCCTGTGTGGGACTGACCTAGGCCTTCTGCATACATATGACAGTTGTGTAGCTTGGTCTTCTTGTGGGAATCCTAACAGTGGAAGCAGGGACTGTATCCAACTTTTCTGCCATCTTTTGGGACCCTGTTCCTCATACTGGGTTGCCTTGCCCAGTCTTAATACAAGGGGAGGTGCCTAGGCACTTTACTGCAATATGATACACCATGTTTGGTTGATATCCATGGGAGGAGGTCTGCCCTTTTCTGAATAGAAATGGAGGAGGAGTGGATGGGGTGGGGTGGGGTGGGGCAGAGGGGAGGTGGGAAGGAGGGGCTAGGAGGAAAAGAGGGAGGGGAAACTGCAATTGGGATGTTAAAATAATAACAATAATAATAACAAATCATTAAAAATATTTTTAAAAATGGAGCTCACAGGGCTCCATTCCACCCGTGTTTTGTTGACTTCTGCTTCTCACGTGTGAGCTTTGCCTGGGCTTGTGGAGGCTGAACGGTTTGATGAGAACATGTTCATTCTGCCCCAACTCCCACTTCCTCAAAATCAGTCACTTTAGTGAAAAAGAGACAAGGGGAAAAGTCAAACTCTTTGTTAGTACTTGGCAAAATTAAACGACTGACTTACTAATGAAGGATTTCTATTTTCAACCGTTTCAATAGCTTCAGGCAAATACTTTAACTAAAGTCGGTATGGACCTTGTTTAGTCGCAAATGCTGGTTTAACTTTACCTCTGTCGAGTTGACTCAAAGGGGCACCAGGAAGGGAAGAGCCTCCTCAACAACCTGACAATGAGGAGGGAAGTTTTCCACTCTGTGTAGGATTTTCTCCAGGACATTCGGGGAAAGGACAAGAACTACTCTCTGCTAAAGAAAAACACCTTATAGAAGAGACCGAAGCCAGCAGACTGTGCTATTCCTCTTGAAGCATTCCTAGATTACACAAGCGTTCAGTTATTAATTTGCTTTCTCTGGCACAAATCCCACCGATCCAGCAGAGCTGAGCATGTGTGGGTGCCAAATCTGCATTTGTGATCCTTTTGTAACCTTCTGAAGCCAGATCTTAAAACAAGAATTGCATAGCTTTGCCAGTTTTCCACGCCCACCAGCCTCCGGGTGACTAATAGGTACCACCTGAACATTGACTTTCCTGACTCCTGACCATTCACTGTAGTTCATTTCACAGATGAGGAAACTGAGGCCACATCCCTCACAGGGTTGCTGGAGTCTCCAAAGAGATCACTCATTGAAATGCCTTTTACCTGGGCTGACTCAGAGGTGCTCCGTGAATACAAGGTAGCCCATCCTTCAAGCTGCCCATGCTGACACACTGCCTCTCTGGAATTCTGTGGACATTCCTCCTGCCTTTCCGCCTACCTTTGTCACTGTCCTGACTGCCCTCAAGTCCCAAGCCATGTCTCTGTCTCACAGCACCTTACTCAGTAGACAGTCAATAAATGTTGACAGACTGGCTGGGTGCCCAACTAGCTGAGATGGCATCTTTGACCAAGGACAAGCGCCCTTCAGAGCCTTTATTTATTGCTTAATGTCAAGTGGTGCCATCAACATGATATAATTTTTCCTGAAATGCATAGTGAGAGTTAAAGAAGTCAAAATTATTGGAGAGTATTGACAATTATCACTAGCTTATCAGCAGCACTAAGACTTGAGTTATGTCTCACAGATGCATCTAACCGTGGCTTTAACTAACTGTCCTCAGTCATTATAATGACATTTATATGCTTATGAGGGAATTTTCAACTGTGGTGTATCTCCTGTTACTTTAATGTAGTAAAAAGTCAAAAAGTAGGTGCAAGAGCCAATTTTATGCTTTTTAATAAATGATGAGAATAAACCAACCAAAGCATACCCCCCATGTGAATATATGCTTTCTTTTTGGCAAATTGTTAATAAGCCTTTGAACCAAAATGAAGGTATCTCTATCCCAATCTGCATACATCATCATTTTCACCTATATGATTTGCAAGACGATGAGGGAGAAATATATTTAAGTTCTATCAGGCCTTTGGGCAGCTTTTACTTTAGTAAAATATCAGATGAACACACACACAAACACATACATCAAGAACATAGTAAATCTAGTTTTATGAAGCTTATGAAATTATGAGATGGTTTTGAGTTTTAGAACAGCCCACCCATTTGTCAGTTGTTCCTGCTTGCCATAAAAAAAAAAAAAATCTCCATCCCTATTTCTTTCTAAATACTCCCTTAGTACTGCCAGTTGGGTTATCATGGCTTTGCACTTTTGTTTTTCTGTTCATTTGGGATAAAGTCTTTGAGTGTAGCAATATTATTGAACTCATTTCTGCTTAGGTCTCAAGTTTCCGTAGCTGCTCTATTACCAAGTGGCAGTGCACCCCATAGGCACAATAAATAAATAATACAACACCGAAGCTCTAACAAATCACAAAATGTATTATTAAAAAATTAAGAAATAAATATCCCCCCTCTTACTTAAATAGAGATTGATTTTATCATGTGGAATGCTGAGGAGAGCTGCTGTGAGATCTATTAAAGCCTGGGGACATGCAAAATGCTCTGGAATGGGCATTTTGCTCCCTCAGCTGGAGGGGGAAAGCCCTTCCACTGAATGGATGTATTTGTGGGATGGAAGCTGCTATTCTCTGTTTGTCCACAAGCCAGGTGTGATGCACTGCTGGCCTCATCGTGTGCGGGCAGTAGGACCTCCAGGACACATCTGTCTTTCCTAAGCACAAACCATTAGTCTGGGCTCAAGCGATGAAGACAAATGCTTTTCAGAAACTGAAGTTGGAGAGGTACCGTCTCTCTGCTTTAACTTTCGATCTCGATGCTGGCTTCCAAAAAGATGTTCTCAACCCAGGATTCTGCCAAGCATCCTCCAAAGTATTTTACCGAATGAGGAGAAGATGCTGCAGGATCGGTACACAAGGTGGGCGCTTCAAGAGGGAAAATTAAACAGGATCTGTTCTCCAAAGATTTGCAAATTATCTGTAGAAAAGAGATAGCACATGTAGTCCCTAGGCTCCCAGGAGGTTGCCCTGCAGATTTGTGTAAGACCTAGTGATTCACCAGCTCCATACAGCCATGAAGATGGTACCACAGTCTCCATTCTGACTTCTCCCTGAAGAGTTTAGTGTTTCTTGGTCCTAACCTTACATGTTCTGGGACCTAGTCAGTCTTGCTGATTTCCCTGCATTCTGGGAAGACACTCAAGACCTCAACATAAGGGGGGGGCGGGGAGACTAACAAATGATCCCATCTTTTCTCCATTGTAGAGTTATGCAACAAGTTTATCCTTGTTACATGTGGAAAGAGCCACTTTGTCTGCTGACCTCACTGCTCTCTGTAAAGGACAACAGCATCCTTTATAGGCTCAAACATCCTCCCACAGCTGAGCGACTCTCTACCTATGGAATAATTCACAAAAGACTACCAGAAATAGTTTACTTGCAGTGAGTAGGTCCATTGACAACAAAGGGTAAAGAAACCCTCTAATTCCAACGGTTCTTGGAAGCACCATTTGCCAGACACATGACAGTCAAATGATTAGGCACCTTGTCTATCCTTCTTAAGCACATAAGGAAATAAAGGGAAGAAACATGGTTAGGATTCAGCATTTGATTTTTCCCATTTTTGATGGAAATTGTTATGCTTTGATTGAGAAATATTCCCCACAGGCACATGCATTTGAACATTCATTTCTCAGCTGGTGCTGTTTTAGGGGAAGGTTATGGGAACTTTTAGGAGGTGAAGCCTTCCTGGAGGGAATCATTGCAAGGGTGGGACTAGAGGCCTTATAGCCTCCCCCCACTTCCAGTCCTTTGCTCTCTCTGTTTCCTGTGTCGGGATAAAGATTTAGTGATCATTCATCATCCAGCAACTGTCGCACCTTCCCTGCCATTAAGGACATGCAGCCCTCTGGAATCATAAGCCAAAAATAAACTCTTCTTTAACTTGCTTTTGATCATGGCATTTTATCACAGCAACAGAAAAATAACTAATTCAGAGTTTTTCTGATCTATATCCAAAATTCCCTGAAGCATGGAGGCATCTAGAAGGCCTGGTCTCCATAGAGACAGACATCTTCATGTCGGGCTGTCTGATAGCTCCTTGTGATTGACAGCAGTTGGTAAGTGAATGGTAGAAGAATGCAGGGGAGACTTTTTACTGTGCCATAGCCGGTGTGGAGCGCTGTTTCCATTCACGTTCTGTTGGCCAGCGCCAGTTGCCTGCTCTTACCCATATTCCAACAGAACTAGGAGTTGTCTGCCCTAGTGCATTGTGAGGAATGCAGCAATAGAAAGTCAAATGACTTGAGAGAACATCTGGTGACATCCCTGAGACATTTACAACTCTGTGTGGATACACGTAAATCATTCCCTAACCTGTGCGGAATACAAAATTCTAACCGAACTCCTGTGAATTCCTGAAGACTTAAATTCTGGAGATGGCCTAGCTTTTGGAGTTCCATGTCTGCCTGCACCCTCCACCCTGCAGTGAGTCAGTGCATAAGGCAGCCTGTTTTAAATGACTCTAGGCACACACCCACACACACTCCGTTCACATAAAGTCCGTATGAATAAGGCAGCTCATACTTAAACTTCAAGGTCTGGGAATTCATGGTTTACTTGCAATGCACAAAGCAAATAAGCCCCACCCATACAAGTCCTATCTCTTGAAAATTTTTTTGGTTTGTGACACTTCCAACAAACATCCAAGTTGTGGAGTCCTTACTGGCCTGATGATCTCCTCTCTTTTCCATTCTTCACTTTTCCTTCTCTCTGCATTCTGGAACAGAGCACATGGTCTTTCTCGGTGTGTACAAGCACAATACCAAACCCACAGCAGTGTATCACAGTATTTTTCCGAGAGGTACTAAGAATGTGTTTACCTACATTGCATCAGGTAACTGTCAGGAAATGTGTCACCCTTTCTAAAGCACTGTCATTGCGGTTCCATTCGGGTACTCAACAACAGCGGTGCCAGGACATGCTCGGAGCAAGAAGATGGTACTGAAGAATACACGAATTCTCTATCTTCGAGGAGTGTCGACCTCCGTGGAGATGGCTGAAAAACAATGTGCTGCCGTCACAGCCAAAGAAGTCTATACAAGGGACTAAGAATATTGCAATGTGGAGTCTGTTCTACCTAGAGTACTCATGAACTTCTGTTCAAAGGAAAGGGGCGACATTTAAACTGAGATGTGTAAGATGGGAAGGGGTTCGCAGTGCAGAGCAAGCATCTCAAGCAGGATGCTCTGGGCCACATCGATA